GGAGTGAAAACTCAGAGGGAGTTTGGAGATGAGAGTAACTGTGTAGGAGGGTCCCTTTAATAAAACTGGAGGTATTGCGACAGATCACGCTCCCTGATGTGCTTCAGTTTTCTAATGAAAATGTTAGTTTCACTGATACAGTTGTTATGAAACTCCATGATGACGTACAGTAGTATTCTTGAACAGATGTGGCTCCTGTGCTGTTTCTGTCAAGACCAGTGAGTTGACCCTTTTCAAACTGAAACTCTAGCTTCATTTAGTGGTGCATGTAGTACAGCAGTTTTACATTCACAAACTGAATGCACCAGCAGAACAAACTGCTTTAACTGTTTTAAAAATTTAAAAAAAAAAAAAAAAAAAAAAAGTTATTTTGGCAAGAATCAAAGGCTAGGAGATCCTGCCGAAAATCCTGAAGGTGACGAACTGCATCCATGCGTCACTGTTCCGTTAACACGGACTATCATTCAGATAGCTATTCATCCAAATCTCCTGGATGATCATCTCTCTGCGCTCAATCCTCTCCGCACGTTCGGCCGCCTCGCTTGCAGCATAAGTCACTTCCTCCCAGCTGTATATCGTCTTCCTCTCTGCCGCTGAGATTAAAGAGCTTTCTGTTCCCGCTTCATCATCATCATCATCTTCTTCTTCATCTCTCTCCTTGTCCCCCTCCTGGCTTTGAGACTTGGGTGAGAGTCTGTGAGCTGTGAGGGGACATGCCCCACAGGTCACTCGGACTGATACAGCCAGCAGAGTAAGGAGAAGACCAACACACACGCTGGAGGTGAACAGCAGCGCTGCCATTTCTGGATGCTCTGTGAGATGTAATAAAGGATGGATAAGATGTATGTGTGCACTCCTAAGTGCATGCAAGCTTTTGAATACCGTTTACCTTTGATGTAGGCATAGATCAGGAGAGAGTGGCTCATCATAGCTCCTGCACTGGCTGGCCTTTTTGACCCTTTGGAGAAAGGCTCCCCCAGATCTGCAGAAGAAGCCACTGTGAAAATTCAAACAATGATGTGGAGAAGAGCCCATAAATAACTGGAACTGCAACAGATCACATGATGTTACCTTGATCTGTGTCCACAGTTGGAGATGAGGTGGAGTTGAATATGTTTGGATCTGCCTCCCTTAGTAAAGCTCGTGGTACTATTTGAAGTAGGACAGAATAGATGATCTTTTTATTGCTGTGGGCATGTTGATACCAGACTCAGTGGCAGTGTATTGTGACTTTGCAGAAACTAGATGGATTTACACTCAAATCATGAAAACCTTGTCCAGGTCTACATGGTTAACATTAGTTTGTGCTAGGTGGAGCCAACAGAAGAATTCTTTCAACACCAGGTTAAAGTCACAGCTCCAAATTATGATATGAACAGTGTTGCTGGCTGACCTCACTGGCATCTGTGGCAGTCATAGGAAGTTTAACAGGATGTCAGCCTCAATGGGCAGATCTGAGCTCAGTCTATTACTCCCTGCTACTGTGTCTGTGTTACTGGGTGTGATACGATAAGAACGGTTGATCGCTGAGATCAGCCGGTAATGATCCACAGTAGGAAACTGCAAATCTTCACTGTACATAATGAATGAAGCAAAAACAGACAAACATGATGTGAGCTTTCCATACTATTAAGTAAATTGGTTCATATTTTAAAACCTCTCTCTAGTTTATCACCAGGTTTATAATTATATTCTGTGAATAAGGAAGAACAGTAGGTCCTACCACAAGAATAGAGCACACTGAGGTACTTGCTGGTTCCTGGAAAGCAGGGGTCTCTAAAGGTCTGGTTGGAGACGGCAACAACGCACCTCTGTTTGCTGTAGCAGGACTTGGACACCAAGTGTACAGCCTCATGGTTCAGACACTCTGTAGGGATAGTAAAAGAAAAACTCTGAGGCAACCAATTCGACATAATCTGTGATTGTGTCTAATGCTCACTCAACTCACTGATGTGTGCTTCAGCTGCAATAGCTGGACCCTTAGTGTTTTGCAGGTGTCTGGTTATAATTTAACTAAAATTAAATCACATTTTTGGCAGCTACCTGATCGATTTTTCCCAGTGATATTTGTGCACTGATATGTTCGTAGATCTTTAACTTGTGTCAACAGCAAGTATCGTTCAAAGCTCTTGTGCCCCAACGCAATCCAGAAAACTTCCTGCATAGTACAACTTAATGAAACAAATTGTAAAATACCAAGAGGAAAGATATCAAAATTCTACACTGGCCCTTTAAACCAGTTTTTAAATTACTACAAGTTATTAACTACTGTTGATTAAATTCTAATTAATTCTTTCTCTGGTAAAGTGCTAAAAAAAAAAACATTTTCAGAGTACTTTTTAAAAGTCCTATAGTCCTAACTTTATTGTTCCCCTGGTAGAAGGAGTCATCTGTTAGCTATGAGAAAACTGTATATCCCTTTGTCTCACCAAATGGGGGTTGTCTTGTCAAGTGTGAGGGGCAGGTGTCAGTCTGGCCCAGACTTCTCCCATAGACAGCTGCATAGATGTTCAACAGCCTTGGGGGCTTACAGCGCAGGACCAGGGTCTCTCCCTCACATGCCACATGTCTTTTGTGTTCAGCTGTGTGTTGGGGAAAAGAACTGGGGTAAGGGGTGTGAGATTTCTGCATAGCTGTGTAGCCATTCCATGGTGATCCACCAGTACACGTGCAACAGAAACTGATGTAGAAACAAGCCAACTGGGAAGAGATATGACAAGAAAAATGGTTGTGACCAGGGACGAGCATGCAGGAAATAAGCTGCTTAACTCACTGGGTTTGCACTTGTAGTCCACATGGAGGTATTTGGTAGTGCCGGGACAAGGGTCTTTCCCAAATAGCAGGTGATTGACACGCAAACGGCAGTCTCTGTGGCTCTGACACTCGGACAGCAGCTTCTGCACAGCAAACACCAGTTTCATTACCAGCGCACGATGTGATGTTAAAAGCCATAGAAAGAAAAATGTACTTAAAGAATCAAATCAGATGCAAAAAAAAAAAGATGCACCCTCTGGCTGACAAATGGAAGACAGTGGACTGTGTTTTCACAAATCTACATGACCAATAGACAGCTAATCTAAGCACCTGTAGAGCAGTAAAAGCTGAACAACTGCGGTTGTGGGCTCCGAGTGGAGGGTCTGGGTCTGTCCTGCACAGCCGCGCTTCGCCGCGCCCATAGAAGGCAGATAGGATGGAGATGGTGGAGTGGCGTGGGCAGTGAAGTCGCAGAGGCTGTCCGTCGCACGCGTGAGCAGAGTGACTGGTGATGATCCTGGACAAGTAGTCTGTTACACAAAAGGCATCAGCTTGGTTGTAACACACAAGGAACACATACACTTTTTTGCATTGAGACTGTTTTTAAAGTGGAGACATGAGGTTTTACAGAAGTGGGTAATTACCAGAGAGGGAAGGTCTAATGAAAGAAGCTACCGAGTTGGAAATGTATTATGAAACCTTTTATGAACTCGATCCATAACATAGACCAAAAGTCAGGATATGTTCTGCCTCTTATGCTTTGATTTTCCTCATAAAGTTATTAAATCTGTCTGTTGTGAGTTCCCCAACTTTATGGAAATGCAAATCAAACTCGCTTTTTAAACCCAATTGGAACTTTGAAGCAATACTGCCTGACATTATTTTGAAGTTTGTTTTCTTGGGTCTACTGCGTCTGTGGTTTAGGATCCGATTGTCTGGACTCCTTGGAGCTATTTTTGTTGTCTCATGTGCAAGTTCCTGGGTGGCAAATTCTGCCAAGTGGCCTTCATCCAAATATGACCCTTCTTTGTTGCATGGTTTGTAGATGTGGTTAAGTTACTTCTGAGTCAAGGTAATTTGTTAGTTTTTTAAATCTTGGTATGTTTACATTTTGTTTTGTAGAAAAGAAATTTTGTAATGTTCAACTTACTGAAGCATATTAGTTGGACAGTTTAAATAAAATACTGGAATACATTTACACTACATCCTCTGAAGCCACACACCTGGCCTACTCTAAATAATTTGGAGAAGGTCTTGGGATAAATTCTTCCCTGTGATCTTTTAATTCTCCTTCCTTACTTGAGAAGTCAGCCAGTCCATTCCCGCGTCTAGTCCACAGGAGCAAAGTCAGGTAGAAGAAGCTGTGGCTCCACTCGAGTCCGTGGCAAGGACGTGTCCAGCCCATGACTCCCATCCCCTGACTCCCATCCCCTGTCCGTGGGGTCATATTAGACTCGAAAATTCACAGTAGGCTCCAGGGACGTCATGAAAGCTTCCCCAAAATGTAAATACGGGTCCGCGATATCAAGCCACATCTTTTTGTGGGGCACAACCTGAAGCGTGGTTTCTGAGAAAAAGTCCCCGCTTCATCTTTGTGTTTCTCTTCAGAGAAAGCATCACCATACAGTCGCTGAAACACAAAGCAGTACCTGTTTGCTGCTAAAATAGAGCAGCCCCCGGAGTAATGGACTCACAGCGGAGCTTAGAAATAGCAGCTGCGCAACAAGTTGCTGAAAACTGACAGACGAGATGGCCGCACCGACGCGTGGTGAGACTCCCAACCCGACTCGCCCACTGTTCAGCAAGCACATTTGTAAATGGACTCATGTTGAAAGGGATTTCCAGTAACAGCTGGGTGGGAATTATAGAGTGGGCGTGGCAGATAAAAGTATTTTAAAGGGGAGAGGGGCGACACGTTGCCGTGACGCAGCGCCAGCCCCGACGCCCCCGCTGGCTTTCTGCTTTTCTCCTCCTTTATAAACGCACAGGTGTAACATGCATAAGCATTTTTTATGCGGTAAAGTGTGTTTTTAACCTGTGTGAATTAGTTTCCCCCTCCCTGCACATCGATTGTAACTAATTTGTATGTAATTTATCTGATTGTCACCTGCACAAATAAACAAGTTTTGTTTCTGATCGCTATATTTGATTTTTTATAGGATTTGCCTGGGTTCATACAGCGCATTTGATTAGTGTTAGTGATGTTTTCAAGTCAGTGTTTTTTGTTGTTTAACCTACAGAGATCAAGCTTCAAGTGAATTCTTTTTTTAATCTGTTTCTTTTCACAAATTACTGACATGCTAAGCATGGTGCCTTTGAATGAAGCAGGGGGCCTACTGGGTAACTTGCTCCCAGGCCCACATCCATGACCCATTCCATGGTAACTGGTCAGTCTCTGTGTCAGACTGCAGCGCAGACCTACTATATTCAATCTGGCAGAGATGTTGGGGTCTCTACAGGGGGAGACTGGCAGGGGAGAGGAACTAAGATGTGATATTTTGCATATAAACTAGACAGTAGGCCCCCTAGTTGGTTCCATTCTTTGTACTTTAGCTTTAGGCTCTAAATCCCCTCTTATGTGATGTCATCCCTTCAAAGCACATGGAATTTTGTTGTCAATCTCAAATAGTGTCCCACACTTTGTTTTTAAGCAATCTGCAGTACAGATAACACAGATGCCTTTACACTTAGGATTAAGGTAAGAATGACATTAAAGTAATATGTACTGTATAGACAATACTATTACTATTAGTGCTCATTTAAAAACTATTGAATGCCATCATATAAATGTAAAGTGTTCATCTGAAAGGACCTCTTTCAAAGTTGAAATAAAATTAATTAAAAGCACATTGTGTTTCATGTCCATTTGTGATATTTCCAATACAATGAAGCTGTTCAGGTGATGCCTTATCTTTCTGTTTGGGCTGATATTTGGACTATGAATAAGTAAAACTTGATCAAAGAAAATTTCTCAGGATATGTTGAGGATGTGTGAGAAATGTACTCACGCATGATACCAAGTCACTTGAAGCTATTCCTTTATTATTTTTTCAAACACAGAAAATGTACAGTTCAAAATGAGAAAAAGTTTAACCCTGCAAAAATTGTCACTTGAAATCCACATTCATCTCAAGTTGGGAATCGAGTGCAGCCTGTAATTCAGGATACAAAATAGCATTAAATTATATAAAGTAAAAAAAACAAAAAATAAAACGCATCTTGTTCTTCATTGATCCAACTATTAAGATACTCACCAGTTCTCTTTTTGCTTCTTCTATTTTCACTTGAGCAAGTGATGGGCTCTGATGTGGTTTAGGAGAAAGAATTACTAATTGCAAATACAGCACATGTTTAGAAATATCTGAAGGCCAGTTCAGTTAATTTGGGATCAAACATACCGGGCTGAGGTCCATATAAGGCTCCAGTTTCCTTTTCAAGGGGATTATTTCTTGTTTCAGTGCAGTGACTTCCTGCAGAGAGAAAAATATGACACCTTTTAATCCGTGAAAGCAGACAGCGTTACATTTGCACTTCCATGGTGATGACTGTGGTGCATGTAGAAAAGTTGCAATACCTCAGCGAGCTGCACAACAGCCTGGTGGGTGACAGACCCATCCATGTTCTTGGACACAAGTTGAGCCTGTACAATCAATAGAACACAATTAAACAACCGACCAAGCACCACATCTGAGCTCTGTCATGGCCGCTGCTGCTACTGTGACTATAATTATTTGAATATGTGGTCCCTCCTCACAGTGATACAAAGGGCATTAACTGCTGGAGCAGTCCACAGCATCATCTCTGTTCCCTAAGCCAAAGGCAGTAACCTGATGCCCACATTAAACCTGGGTCAAATTGGGTGCATACAGCTCAGGTCTGTGGCAACATTAAGGTGTAAACAATGCATCTACAGAGCAAATCAGCTACAATAACATGCTTAAATTTTAACACCCTAAAATTCTTCTTTCCCATTGCTAAATACTTGCAGAGTTTCCATATGACACATCTCATCTTCTCAATCTTTCACTCTTTATATTGGCTTTAAGCCATTGGCTGTTAATGGGTATTTTTTTCTTAAATCTTTTTGTGTTGATTGGCATTCTCCTCTACTGGTGGCTAAGGACACCCATCGTTTATGCCTCTGCAATCTGCATACCAACTTGTCATCAGTACAGTTTGTTCAATTTTCTCATCCAGAGGAGCATTTCAACTAGATCATGAATATCTAAATGGAAAATGAGCAAAAAGGCATTTTTTTCCACCTTATATTCAATAGCGGTATATTGCACCATGTATAGACACCATCATGCATAATGTTGATAACATGTACAAACACCTGTCAGAGTGTAACCAGCACTATGCTGCTATTACAGATACAGGTACAGACAGTAAAACGCCACAACATACCTCTGCCCTCTCCCGTTTGATTCTTAGCTCTTTGGCCTTTGCTCTCACAAAATCCATGTTGAGCAGTCTCTCCTCTGCTTTAGCGCTCTCCACTGCCTGGGACTTAACAGTTTTGTTGATATCCCTAAAAACAATTAAGAACACTGGTTACAGATGAAGTACAACATGCAGCACCAAAAGGTTTATGTCTGTTGTGACTGGATTTTGGTATGCAATAGGACTTAAGCCCAGGACTTAAATGTATTTGTTTTTGATATAAAAATGTTACTAAGCCCTAGTGTTGTGTCATATATTGACATGTCTTAGTCATTCTCTACATCCATTTGCTTACTCTTGTAAGCTGCTCCGCAGCACCAGAGTAGCACCAAGTCTCCTTCTAAGGGCCCTGAGTTCCCGCTCAAGTTTTCTGTTCGACTTCTCTGTTTCCACAAGTTCGTTGGTGTGGTTGTTCACTGCTGGCATGAAGCTACACAATAAAATTAAGAGGAAAAAAAGTGTTTTCTGTGAAATCCCTTTTCATGTTTTTCTTCAGGGAAAATAGAAACAGAAACTACACTTCACCAGTGCAACAACCAGCCTACCTGCCCAGTGACGTGTCTCTCACTCCAAGCACCATGGCATTGTCCACCAAAGCACACAGGTAGTCAGCAGCAGGCTTTGCCAAGCTTGCACAGGACAGCCCAACACCTTGTAAAAGAACATCTTGGAGATGAGCACCTGCATGGAGAAAACAATTGTTTTGTTCAGTGAAATGCCATGTATACACTATGGGGTGAATTCATGGACAACAGCACCATTTTAGACTTGACTAATCTGTGAAGCCTGTAAAGATACTGAGTCTAGCTGTAGCCAGTGGGGGGGAAAAACAAAACAAAAACAAGGAGTTCTGCAACAGATGGCGTGGCCCCCAATGACCATAAAGCCCAGATCTCAGTATCATCGAGTCAGTCTGGGATTACATGAAGAGACACAAGACAGTGAGGCAGCAAACTGCACATTGATATTCCATTAATAAGCTGCATTGGCATATCATCATAATGAGCAGTGTCACTATGTTAATAAGTTACTGCTCAACATACCTGCGGTAGCATTAAAGTTAGACACTTCCACTGCATTTACCTCTGCTGTCTTCCAGTTACTCACCATCAGCTTGATACTCTGATATTTTCTGCTTGATGTCTTCAATGCAGAGAGCTGTTTCACTGCACCTGGCTTCACTGGACTGAACCAACTGGTACAGTATGTCCACCGTCCTGATGTTTACCTCAAACTGTGGCACTGGCTGATCTCCAAACACTGTGCTGAGCCAGCTGTTCACCTGAGGACCAACATGAAACTAGAGGATAAACAAAAAACAACAACGGCATTCACCGCATTAACTTATAACGTGACGACGGCAAGACAGCGAACAGTACCTTCTTAATCTTTTCACACATGGCAAATAAAACAATGAACTCTTCCCCTAAAGTCAGCTTCTTCAAACGTATAACTAGTTCTGCAGTGCGAAATAAAAACAAAAGATATACGTTTCCCGCCCCTAAAATTATTCAAACAACTTCCTAGTTACCAGCCAATTAGAAGACGAGAAAACTGTCCTCGATACTTCCGGTAACACTAAATTCACAATAATTTATATTTTATAATCAAATGTAAAATAGTAAAAACAAAGGTTATGACGATTTAAACAAATATAAGCTAAATATGTGATGAATTAATATGTTAATTTATCTGGTCTAAGTTTAAAAGATGATGTCAAAAATAGACCACTATAGCCTAATTACTGAAATCATTTTAAGACATTTTAAAGCAGTGTTGGAAAAAAGTTCTCCAATTATTTATTTGAGTAAAAGTAGAAATACCACAGTGTAAAAATACTCTGATAAAAGTAAAAGACCTGAAGCTGTTATTTAAGTAAAAGTAGCCTACAAAAGTATTTGTGTCAAAATAGTAATGCAGAATGGCACATTCCATTTTAATGCACTGACTATCTTACTGCTGGATTAGATTGCAATTACTAATGCATTACATCAGATTTAATGTAAAGGTGGATATATTTTTAAATACCTTAAATGCTTCTAACTTGAAGTAGGCTATTGCTGGGAATCTTGTGAATGTGCACCAAAGATCAATATTAATTTATGAATATTATCGCAATTAATATGATTGTGAAAAGTAATTAACTAAAGCTAGGATAACAAATAAAAGTAGTGGAGTAAAAAGTAGGCTACAGTGTAGCCTACGCTTCTGAAATGTAGTTGATCTGAAATATGAACATAGTAAAGTAGCACAGATACCTCAATGTTTTAGGCCTACTTAAGTACAATATTTGAGTAAATGTAGCTACTTTCCATTTTATTAGCTCAAGATGAAGATCAAAGATTTTTATTGTCAATTCATTATATGTGAAGGAGATACATAAAAATCGAAATACTGTTTCTCTCCCACCTAATGTTGTGGGTACAGATCAAGCATACATAAAACTCATAAGGGATTTAATTCGTTGTCTTATGGAGACAGGATCAATAAACAGTGTGTAATTGTTTATGTATTTTTACTCCAAGTAAATTAATGTTGTGATTCTACACTCCGCTACAGCAGGTGGCGATATGCGCCCAATTCGTTGGTTTCGCGAGCTACAACTAAACAAAAAGGAAGAAGATATTTCACTGTGAACCAACCGCGAAAGTTAAAAACATTTGGAGAGCGTAGGAAATATGGCGGCGAAACAAAAATTGTCAAAACACCGACAGAAAAGTGTGGATTTCATGAAGGTAAATACTACGTTTGAAGCGCCCAGCTTTGACTCTGCTTTCATCGAAGGAAAATTGTGTGGCGAACCAGAGGAAGAAGAGGACTGTGACGACGGACCTGTGGTCTTCATCTGTGCAAAGTGCAAGGTTCCTGTTGGGGATTCAGTGTCCTGGGATGGAAGTGAAGACAGCCAAAACCAAATAAGATTGAAGCGTGAGTTGGAGCTTTAGATTACTTGTTGGTTCGGTTTTATTTTGTCATAACGCACTTGTCAAAATATCCAAAAAAGGGAAAAGAGAAAAACCTGGCTTCACTACAGCATGAAACGTACTTAAGCATGGCCCGATTAGCTTCCTGGGAGGTCTGTCCTATGTATAATTTCAAGAATCTTGTCACAAACCCAAGGTTCAGATTTTTGCTTAACAGGAGCTACTGTAACTTCCTTAAACAAATTACCGAACATAAACCAGAGCTCATAAATATTAGGTAAGCTGGTCCAGACAGCCATTGTTTTTTTTTAATGTCCAGACTGAATACTCATGGTTGAGAGAGCAACTTCCCAGAAGATATCACCACTTTGGGGATATGTAATGTTATTCACATGTTATGTCATTTAGTATATACTGTTAATATTATATACAATTTAGTTGGATGTCCCTCACCACCAAACTGAAAAATTAGTGCAGTGTAAAAACATAGGTTGACTTAAAAGTCTACTAGAATCTTGTGTTCAGGTGCAGTCGCAGAGGCTGGGAATTTATATTTTATCTTATAAATACAGTGCTGCTGATATCTGTGATGCTTTGGTCTTAGGTGTCACAGACAACGTCTTGGTTGGGAACGACAGTCGACTGTATGATGCAGGCAAAAAAAATCTCTGGTAAGATGACTGATGTACTGTCTTATTATCAAAAATAGAAGTAATGGTACAGTATATGGATGCAAAATGTACTGGAGCTCAAGATACATGATTAGATGTCCCGATTACTGAGACTAAAGACCATGAGTACACATCATATCTTCTGCCAGCAGTTTAATGCTTTTAACCATGACCACAATTATCTCAGCCCTTGACCAAGACATTTCAGTTGACCAAACTTAACCATAGCTTTATTATAGAGCTGGATAGGAAATTGCTCAAATCTGTTGTTTTAGGATGCACTGGAAAATTGCTGACATATTGTTATATGTGTACGAGTGCTTGGATTAAATCTGTCTAAATCATTGTTTCATTTTGACTAAACCATTCCCTTTTTATATTCTTTAATGTATAATTTTTTTGTCCGCAGTCTGATCATGGATCTCTTCTGTCAAGGCTGCCACTCTGTGCTTGGCATGATTTATGCATCTACCCCTAAGAACCTGGATCACAAGAGATTTGCATTCTGCTTCAATGTAGCAGACATTGACAGGTATGTTCAGGGCCTGAATGTTTAAAGACATGCATGAGTACAAGTGTTCAACCAACAGGATCTAATAAACAAAATCATATAACTGTATTGTGGAAGAATTTGTAAATACTCCTTGTTGTACTATAAAATGGAATAAGCATCAAAAGCATGCAGCTTCTCCTTCATTGGCTCCAGCTCTATCTAATATCTGAAAAGATAAATTGTGGTTTTATTTGTATATAGACTCTGTAGAAGTTTTTTATTTAACTTGTTACATGCCTCTAAATATCTTATCTTGTTACAGGTTTTATAGATAGTCAAATTTGATACGGTAATTGAATTTACCAAGAAATACAGTGGTGGTGTGGTTAAATGCATAAATAATTGAAAACCAAGCCCCACATGTTTTTGAATAATGAATCAAAACAAAATGAGATAACCTGAGAATCATGTTCCAAAACTAAAAACCTTAATTTCTAAAGCCAGCAGTGCAGTATTACACCACAAACCAAGGTCGCATTTATGGTGGAGATATTGTATTAACTTTTATTAGCTGTACAGGTGTTAATGGTGCTTTTCATCTTGCATCCTGGTGTTATACTGTTGTATGTTTTTCAGCTACGTGCTTGGCTCTGCAAACCAGATGTTGGCAGCAGATGGCCCCAAAGAGCAGCCGGTCACACTGGAGTACAGAGGCATTGTGGAACAACAGCTGACAGAGGTGCATTAGTGTTTTTCTTTGTTTGGCTTGTCTCTTACTGTCTTGCTGTGACATAAAATGGTTTTATCCGCTGAGTCAAATGCCTGCTCTAAAGCTCATTGCAGTGTATAGCCATGACTGTTTTTCTAAACACAGGTGGAGTTTAGTCTCTAAAATTGTGTTCTTGATGTGTAAAACGATGAAAAATAAGAACACATTATGCCAGGAGTAACAGTTAATGTCGTGCTGACAGTAAAATTCACACAGCTTACAGGCAGGTCTTTTCTCGATGATTATCAGTGCACAGGTTGTACTGATGATGACATCAACTTAGTTCGGGGAAGCCCTCACTGCTCTGTCGGGCACATTCGTATATCAGACATTACCTCATCTGTCCACATCATCCTCTCCAAACAAATATATTTTTCTTGCACTTTTAAATAGAGTAAAATTAAATATGTGTATTTTCTAAACTGTGTATATATATTTCTGTATATATAAGTATTTTTATTTTCCTAATGAACATTCCCTTTTCTTGTTTACGCATTCTTCTTTCTTTTGTTGTTCTCTCAGCCTTGTTTACTTATCTTCTCTTTGCTTTACGGAGGAACATTGTACAAACACATTGAGAGCCACTGTACCAGAGTCAACTTCCTCATGTGTCCAACACGCACTTGGCCAATAAAGCTGATTCTGATTCTTTAGGATGCAATGTTAATATCCAAATCTGTTTATAATTTTATATATTTCATCTTTGAAATGTTTACATTTTGAAGGATCACATTATTATTATTAATGTGAAAATCTACAGGAAACTTGCAGTTTTACTAGAATAGTGGTGATTCCCAACATTTTTTAAAATCATCCTTTGTTTAAAATATATCAACAACCACAAATTGGCCAGTAGGTGGTGATAGCACGCAGGAGTACCTGCCAGCCCTCCCACACTCTTGCACCAGGGACAATAGATGTGATAGAGAGCATGCTGAGGAATCTTTGTTGGAGGAAAAACATGTTTTGATCATGAAGGGTCTATGTCATTATAGCTGTATGTATGAATGGCTTTTGTCCTACTTGCCTGTGGACTGAGTTTCTACAGGTGACAATTGATCCACTGTTTCATGGGTTGTTGTCTGTACACCTGTGTATTTAATACTGGTTGTACTGCTTAAAAGGAAGGAAGAAAAAGGAAAAAAAACTCCTATATGTGAGCAACATAACATTGGATGTACTTTCAAGTTCTTATGGATATTTAATTATCTGTGTGTATTAGCTCACCATGTACCCGTTCATTAGTTTGTCTGTGACTTGTTTTAGTATGTTTTCTCTTGTGTTCCACTGATGTGACCCCTCATAACATAACAAATGAATCCACTCTTCAGTTCATCTCTTGAAGCCCAAATCACTGCTGTGCTGCCACACAGTGTATCACTGAGACAATGGGCAGCAGAAGGGAACTGTAATAATGAAGGCTTACCTCATTTTGCCTTTGGTTAATATGTAGGTTACCTCTTAAATCCACCTCATCAACTGTGTTTAGTTTCAACATTAGTCGGCTAAAGATTAAGCTGACTGTGGCTATATACTAATTGTATTAATTTGGTTAGCGAGTGGCGAGTTGTAGCAAGATTATAAAGGCCTTTGACTGGGTCAAAATTAAAATCACACAATCTTTCATCATATGTCTGTTTACATATATCATTAAACCTTTTTCACTCAGAAATTCTACTTTAGTTCCTTTCAGAAATTATAGAGATAGTGAATAAATGTGGTAACAAAACATCTAGTGATAGTGATGGCATCACTATGACAACTGTTAAATGGGTAATTGAGGGGATTTGCAAACCATTAACCCATATTTTTAACATGTCGTTTCAACTTGGGCAGTTCCCCAATAATATGAAAATAGCAGAGGTCATTCCACTGTACAAATCTGGTGATAAGCACAACTTCACAAATTATAGACCGGTTTCTCTGTTGTCACAATTTTCAAAAATCCTGGAAAAACTCTTTAATAACAGATTAGACACATTTATTGATAAACATAAAATTCTCTCTGATTGCCAGTATGGTTTTAGGTCGAACCGTTAGACATCTTTGGCCATTACCGACCTGATGGAGGACTTTACAAGTGCTATGGATGAGAGGAAATACACGATACGAATATTTATTGACCTAAAAAAGCATTTGACACAATCAATCATGAATTATTAATGGACAAGTTAGAAAAATATGGGATCAGAGGAATGG